ATTATGCAATGTAAGAATGAACAAGTGATGAGGCCAAGGAGAGAACAGATATAGAAGAACAATCGAGTAAGAACACAGATGAGAGCAATACATATAATATATGAGTGAATGGAGAATGAGAAGTGCGTTACGACAGCAAGGGAATAAGGTTCAATCAAGCATACATAAACGTAAGAGTAATGCGATTATGAACACACGTAACATTGATCGTACAAGAACACACTGAGAAAGTAAAGATATCATATAAGATGATATGCCCATGGGCACAATTGGTTCTCTTTTTTTTGTATCTATTTAACATTGTTGATGACCACATACACGCGACCATTAATGTAAATACACAATTTGTTTCTTATCAAAGTTACTGATAGTATGCATGTTGAAAGAATATGATATTTCACTCGTCATACTGAATCAAATGTGTGAGTCGTTTATTCATGTTTTTTAGGTGAAATTTTAGTGATCCTTTTCACAATAAGAATTTCTGTGAAGCTAGTAGAAATAACCAGTACCAATCATATTCTGATTAAATACTACTGTTTACTCTGTCCATGTTGTCTTTGACTATTATTAGCATTAAAATATAGTTTTACCTTTAGACCAACGATATGAAATCATCTTTCTTTCTAATCTACCAATAGTTTCAAAACTTTGATCACAACGAAGTATTAGCTCAATTGATGCAACGTTCCAGAGATTTGCACAACTCAACTCGAACTAATTAACTACATACAACGACTCCCAAACAAGATGAACATATTATTTCACTCGCTGAATAATAAATAATCATTACCAATTGGGATCTTATAAGCAAACTTTAGTAAAAATGATTTGTATGTCAACGAAAGAACAGCAGAATGACAATTGAACAAAGTAACATCGAAATACAGTCGATTCATTACAATACCATTGCTTGTCCTATGTTTTGAGAGATTCGTTTAAAAACTGTTCAAGATTAAAGAGAAACGAACTAGAAACAAAATGATTTGAATCGTCAAATATTTTATCAAAGTGAATGTATACGATTGGTTTTCAAGTCGAGACGTGGTTTGCATCTTCCTCTTCAGAAATAGCTTGGACGCGAAATTTATGTATGATATCTATAAGTGTGGTGTCTTTCCAAGGGTTACGAAGTTGATTGACATTTAATAGCACCGAATCTCGAACGCATCTAAAATATATAGCAACTCCTAAGACTCATTCAAGTTAAGAGCAAAAAAGTTCAAAATTTATTGATTGTGTGTTTCAGCAATAGAACATAATATGAGTGATCAAAGGACGATTGATGGTTTGTAGGAAAAACGGTTCAATTGAATTTAAGAAAATGGTATTGATTTAAATGCAGTTCAATGTTTTCTAATAACTTTGGTCGTCGATGACAATTAGAGCCTTACTTAGCATCGCCAGAGCTGTCTAAAAAGATAAATTGAAAACCAAAGTTATTCAAAAACTCTGAAACGCAATCAAGTCAACGGCATTCTCTTCGAAACTTCGAAATATGCTATCCATTTTTGGTTGGAAATATGATTATTACAACCGAAATCGCTATATACAGATTATTAACATAAAATTTAAAATGAGCAGATGTTACTTCAGTGTATAGGAAGGTTGGTATTAGATACTAGCACCATTTTCTAATAGTGTTCAGCCAGAAGTTTTTTCTTACTTTTCTAATAAATGATTGTTACATTAATTTCTAAAGTAAGTGTCATGATTTATCTATGGGTATATAATTCTTTTAGGTCGCATTGAGTAACAAGTATCCAGGGCAAGTAATACGCGTAGAATTTAGTAATCACAGATTGTCCCATGTGATGCTGGAAAAATTGAAAATATTATCGGGTCATTTACAATTTCTAACATCATCTTCTTTATTTCCACACGAAAAACGTATTGAAGTTAAATTGATCTGATCTCTCCTTCAGACCATCAATCATCCTCTCTGAAATTATTGAAAGTTTAGATGATTTCATTGTGCATTAATGGTCCCTATGTAGTATAAGCTTCTGTACAATAAAAAAAAAATTAGTCCAGTTTTAAGAAAGTTAAGACTTTCTTTTTTATATTGTAGTCATTGTGAAATGAGTTTGAATTGTCTATTTAAGATAGTCTCTATATAATAGAAATAATGATGTTACAATATTTATTAAAATCAAGAACAAAATGTATTATGTTAGGACATAAAACAATTCGATCCATTCCAGTAAAAACATTCACCTATGAATCACGTATTCGACGAATGTATAATGATGGTATAGATGTAAAACAACAAACAGTCGAAATTAATTCAATAGAACGTATTCGTCGATGTTTACTTCACAAAAATGATGACATTTGGACTTTTTATAAGACAATGCATCCCAATGTACGAACACTTGGTGATACTCTTAATGAAGGTTATGTTACCTCAAACGATGGACCGTGTGTAGGTATTATTCAATCATCGAATGGTATTAATTCTTTACAATGGCTTCCTTATTCCAAAGTTATAGAAAAAAGTCGATGTATTGGTTCATATTTATGGGTTGAAACAAAACTTACACCAATGCAATCGAAAGTTGCTATTCTTTCAGCAAATCGTGCTGAATATTTGTTTGTTGAACAAGCATGTTATCAATATGGATTTATCGTTGTTAGTCTTTATACTACTTATGATTCTGCAACTATTTTAAATATTCTTCAAAAGACCCAAGTCGAAGTACTTGTAGTCGATAATTTAGAACGTATTCGAACTATTCAAGATGATTTATTCAATAATAATCAAATAAGAGAGATATTGGTTATGGATGACAGTAACTATGATGAGAAAAATAAAATTCGATCTATTTCAACAATATTTAAATCAATACAGCATAGTGATATACGTGAACGGCCAATAGTTGATCCAAATAGTATTGCTACATTCATATTTACAAGTGGAACTACAGGTAAACTTCCCTTGAACTTAAAATAGTCAAGATATACAGTCGTCATCGATTCTTTTTTTTTTATTCAAGGAGAACCAAAACTTGCAATGATCTCACATGAAAATTTATTGGCAGCGGTGAAAGGTAATCTTATTCGTTTACACCGACAAAATGTTAAAAGGCCACTTACCAATAGTCATTGTTCATTTCTACCTATGGCACATATTTTTGAAAGATTTGTAATCTTTCAAATTCTATTCGAAGGCACAGCAATAACATTTTGTCCAGCTCCTGAAAAGCTCGTCGAATATTTATCTATAGTGAAACCAACTCAAGCTTCTGTTGTGCCACGTGTTCTTAACAAAGTCTATGATACAATTATGAATGAAGTTAATAAAAGTGCAATAAAACAATTTCTTGTTCGACAAGCATTACGTGAACAACTACCATTTTTGTCACGTTTCGTCTTTCGAAAAGTTAGAGCTTTATTCGGTGGTCAACTTCAAGGAATAATAACAGCATCAGCTCCAATAAAACCAGATGTGATGCATTTTTTTCGTATAGCATTGGATGTACCTATAATAGAAGGATATGGACAGACTGAATCATCAACGAGTGGTGCTAGTACACATCCAATTGATATGTCATATGGTACAGTTGGTTCACCTGGACCAAATTCCGAAATAAAATTAATTGATGTACCAGATACAACCTATCGATCTGAAATGAATCAAGGAGAAGTTTGTATCCGTGGACCAGCTATTTTTAAAGGTGAGTCGAGTTCATCAATTGATCTTACGTTTTTGTGAAATTCATATATAGTTTTCAAGAAAGTAATCGATGTAAATTTTAAGTAGACTTTTAACGGCTCCTCACCTCTCACTCTTTACTTCCCATTACAGACGACCGACTTTTTTTCCAGAGTTTTTTTTTATTAACAGAAAGGGTGTAGGTATCGGCATGTTGTTTACTATAAGCAACACCCACATCCTATGATAGACCTTTATTCTACCAACCAATTACTATGTGAAACAACTACATTCCCAATGAGGCTGCTCTAGCAAGTTCTTTTTTTTGTTGTTTAATAGGCTATTATGGTGATGAAGCAAAGACAAAAGAAGCGATTGATCAAGATGGCTGGTTGCATACAGGTGATGTAGGAGAATGGGCAAGTAATGGAGCATTACGTATTATTGATCGTGCAAAACATATATTCAAATTAAGTCAAGGAAAATATATTGCACCAGAGCGTCTTGAAGATGTTTATATGCGTTCACAATGGGTTGCACAAATCTTTATTGATGGTATTTCTAGTGAAGCGTCTGTTGTAGCTATTGTGATACCTGATGAACAGTATGTTCGAAAGAACTTTCAATCAGTAACCACTGAAACAACATTTGCCGATTTATGTAAGGATGTAAAACTAAAACAAATTATTTTATCCGATTTAATAAGATTAGCAGAAAAATCTAATCTTAAAATTTATGAAACACTGAGCAATATTCATCTTCATCCCGAGTTATTCTCGCACAACAACGGATTTATTACAGTAACATTCAAGATACGACGAAA